CTTCTTTTCTGTCCTCTTCCTTTTCTTTCCTACCCCTTCACCATCTCCCCTTCTTCCTTTTGGACGTATGAACTGTTTTGTTTTTTTCCTCTTTCCTTTTCTCTCTTTATCTCACCTTTTCTTTTTTCTACCCTTTCCCTTCCTGTCCCTCTCTCTGGGAAGAATGCTCTGGGAGGCGTGTGATTGATGGCCCATTAGAAAAAGATTAACAGGTGGGGGCTTGACTAGAGAAACAAATGTCAGGGACTGGAGGAGGGCTGAGGAGAACAGGTGACCTTTTCCATTAGAGAGAGGCAAGCATGACTTTTAAAACATCAGTTGCTCCTTACAAGACAGCAAGGGAGCAAATGCGCGGACAGCAGAGAGAAGGCTAATCCACCATTATACCCTGTCGTCTTTTTACATTCTTCATCCGCACAGACATAATCATTTGATTCATGCTGAAATTGGTGTCTCTGTTTAGCATATGGGCCTCTCATTCCCTGCTAGTGTCATTACTGCCTGGCTTTGAGGTTATCTTCATCTCTCTTCTCCCTGTGCTCTCTTTCGCTCGCTCTCTTTTTCAGGGCCCGTTTTGTTATTCAAATGTAATTAGGGATGGAAATTGAGCCTCACCCCCTTTTATTTTGATTTTAGAGAAACTGGAGGTGTATAAAATTCTGTGGCAGGGGGAGGGTCTGCCATTTCTCTTTTCTCCAGCCAGAATGAAATCAAAGCCAGGGCCTAGTGAAGAAGAGGAAAGGTAGAGGTGCTGAGGAGAGAAAGGAGAGAGTGAAGAAGTAGTTTTGGTCAGTAGGTGTCAGATGTGGTACAGCCACATGGATGGCTAAGGGTGGGGGACCTGCTTTAGTAACTGGAATAAAAGCTCAGACGCATAAAGACATGGAGGGTACGATAGTAGTAGAAATGTAGCCGTGTTAGTCTGGTGTAGCTGAAACAAAATACAGGACTATGTAGCACTTTAAAGACTAACAAGATGGTTTATTAGATGATGAGCTTTCGTGGGCCAGACCCACTTCCTCAGATCTGGAGATGTAAAATCTGAGTAAGTGGGTCTGGCCCACGAAAGCTCATCATCTAATAAACCATCTTGTTAGTCTTTAAAGTGCTACATAGTCCTGTATTTTGCTTCATGGAGGGTACGGTGATTCAGGAGCCGGCTCTTGTCCACTCATTTAATTGGATAAGAACAATCAGAGTTGGATTCTTGTGCTTCCTGGAATGGACTCAAGGTGCAGCCCATGGCAGGAGAGGAAGAACCAGAACTGGATTATTCTGTGCATGTGAGCACCCTCTCCCCGATGTACTGCTGGTACAGCCTGTGGGAAATGGAGAAGTCCCATTATTTTCTTTATTTAAGTGTGTTCCCTGTAAAAGGACAGTAACTCTGTCTTGCCATCATCAAGAAAAAAGGTGAGTCAATGAATCTCTTCCGCACAGAGCACTATGATGAGGCAATGCTGGCTTCCTAGGAGAATATTTGCTTAGGCCTGAGTGGAGTCTCCGTCTCCATTCACGCTTGGGTCCCCTAATTTCACAAGTGCCTGTCCTCTCCTATCACCACCAGGGGGTACCAGTAATCTCACTGACACTAATTTGTGTGATGTCAGAGTATGACCTGGCATTTATAGGCAGTTCAGCCCCACATAAAGAAAGAGGCTAGCCACATGGCCAGCTGATCCAAGTGGATCTGCGATGGACACCCAATAGGTGTACCCCAGGGTGAATGCTGCTGCTCCCCCATGAACAGAATGGGTTAGGCCTGTCAGTTCCCTCTAAGTCTGGACTAGGGGAGCTGCTCCTTTAGGAATGGAAAGGACAGAAGTGTGGGGAGGAGGGATCAGACTTCAGATACATAAGCGTGTCCTGGGTGGATTATACTGATATACTGTATACACGAGAAGTCTGACTTTCCATTCATGTTGGTGACACTTGTGGCTTGTCAAGTGAGAGAGAGGGAGGGACACTGCCCCCTACTGACAGGAATGTGTCAGACATTGTTATGTTTATTGCCGTTACCCTTTGCTGGCTAACCTAGCAGAGTTCCAACTCAGCCAGAGGGGCAGCCAGGATACTCTCGCACATATATGTGTCCATACTCAACTGGGGAGTCCTTCTCCCCCTGCCCCACCTCTCACCCGCTGTTACTGAGAAAGATGGAAAGAATCTGTCATCAGTGGTGTCAGCTCAGCCCCCAGCCGTATAAACGTCTACTTCATAGTTCCTGAGCAAACGGGCTGGACCCCTTCCCAGCCTTGTCAGAGGAGCCTCCATGAACTGAACACAGCAAAGAAACATCCATTAATTCTGAAAACAAAAGGAGGAGTAATTGAATTTGTTCAGGCTTGTTCAGCTGATTGAGTCATTAAAGCTCTCTCTCTCTCTTTTTCTCTTGCACACACACCACCCTTTGGCTGGAAGCAGCTGAATTACCTGTGGCAAAAGGTGTCACAAATTCAGTAGATGCAAAGGTCCTGGATTGGACCCATTATTTCCTTTTACTGACCCATTTGCTCTGTTTGGATTCTTAGTAATTTCTCCTGTTGTCTTGTCAGTTTCCTTTTTCTTCCTCATTGTCCGTTTCCCTCTGTTTCTTATTCCCTCCTGTTTTCTCTGTCCCTTGTTCTGAGACATTAACAGGCTACTCTCTTCATTGCTGATGCGTTATTCATGCACTCTGATATTCCCCTGGGTAATTACTTAGACCACTGCAAAGAGGAAGGTATGAGAAAAGATTGCCAGAGCGGGCCCAGCAAATGAATGCTGGTAAGGAAAAGGCGGGGGAGAGGAAAGTGGGGTAGAAAAGAGAAAAAACAAGGAACTAAAGGAGAGCTGTGGGAAAGAAAAAGGAAAGGGGGCAGAGAGGAGGTTGGGAGGTAAGATTAGGAGCTGCCTGGGGAGGGACTGTGTAAATACAAAAGGAAAAACACAACACTGAAGTCTGGCCTACACTGGAAAGTTAGGTTGGCATAACTATGTGGCTGAGGAGTGTGGAAAAATCCACATGCTTGAGTGGCACAGGCGATGCATAGGGATACAAGAGGGCGAAACGCCATGGGTGGGAGGAGCAAGGAGCCAGCAAGAAGCTGGTGAGGGGATTAGTGAGGAGGGAGGGTCTGGTACCTGCAATCAGGGCCTGCCCCCCTCCCCCTTGCACTCACTGGCAGTGGTGGGGCAAGTTGAGCAACAGCCCCAGCTCACTGCACTCCCCTGTCTGTGCTACTCGGGGGAGGGACAAGAGCGCCCCACACTCGCCTGCAGAAGCAGAGCAACGTGGCTGGGGAGCAGAGCAAGATGAGGTTGTGTAGATCAGCTTGACCCACTGCTTCCAGTGAGTATGCAGGGAGGGGGCGAGGTGGATCCCCATTGCTGACGCTGGCCCTCAGCCCCACTAGTCTCCTGGGGTGCATCACTTGGGGGTAGGGAAGAGGCAAGGTGGGGGTGGAGCAGGGGTGGGACCTGGGGTGGAGGGGATTGTCCTGGCTCTTCCCCAAGCTGGGGGAGAGGGAATACAAGGCCAGTGGCCCCTCTGGCACCTTCACCAGTCACCTCTGTTGAGTGGTGTAATTAAGCCGACCTAAGTCCCCCAGCACTAAGTGAATTGAAAACTTAGTCAAGCTAGCTGCTACCTCTCTGGGAATTCTTAGGCTGTTAGGAAAACCCCTCCTGTGAGCAAACGTTGTGTCTACACTGAGGGGCTACAGTGGCACAGCTGTGTCACTGTAGCATTTTAGGTATAGAAAGGTCCAAAGATGGCACCATTGGTCCCCTCTGTGCTCCACTCTGCCAGCCTTCCCATCACCCACACGACTCCCACCAATGCACGATTGTGTGTGGCATGGAAATGGCAACCTTTGGTTCTGAGGTGATGTTTTCCAGTCTTGCCCAATTCTGATCCTTGCTTTTTGCCACTCCTGCAGCCAGAAGAACTGACCAACATCCTGGAGATCAGCAATGTCGTGTTCACCAGCATGTTTGCCCTGGAGATGATCCTGAAACTCGCTGCCTTTGGCCTCTTTGATTACCTCCGCAATCCCTACAACATTTTTGACAGCATCATCGTCATCATCAGGTGACAACCCTAGAATAGAGAGGCCAGGCAGGTGACAACCCCAGAACAGAGAGGCAGCTCAGTGCCTGAACTGTGATGCTGTGCCATACCTGCTTTGGCTATTTAAACAGCTAAAATATGAGATAAGGCATGCTTAATGCACAAGGCAAAGAATCAGGAGATCTAGGTTTTATTTCCAGCTTAAACCCTGACTCATTGGGTGACCTTGGGCAAGTCACATAACCTTTCAGTGCCTCAGTCCCCCTCCCCCCACCTCCCTCCCACCCCAGCCGTAAAATTGAGATAAAAATCATTGTCTACCTCAGGCATTTGTGAAGCTTAATTATTCGGTACATATAAAACATTTTATTGCGAAGAGCCAGAACATTGGGTGAAAAATGCAAAGTATTATAAAGGAGTTTTCCGTCCTAGGTCTTTATGATGCAGCATTTGCACACTTCTGTTTAGTTGAGCAGCACTTCAATTTTCCCAAGAAAGAAATGCAGTCTTATAGACATACCCATGCAAAATGCACACTACAAACACACACCTGAGTCAGATTCTCTTCTATGCACACAGATTTTTTTGCATACACACCTCACTTACACACACACTTGATTCATACAGGTTCTCTTTCTTTTGCACTCTCTTGGTTCACACAGATTCTCTTGTATACACACACACATGTTGCATTGGTGACCGAGGTAATAATCCCATGACGTGAGTTCTCTCTCCCACTCTCACTGTCTCTGTCCTGTTTATCTTCCACTGTCATTCTTTGTCTCCTTCCCTCTGCATATCTCCTTGTCCAACTGTCTCTCTCCTCCTTTGCCTCTGGGCCACAGCATCTGGGAGATCATTGGCCAGTCTGACGGGGGGCTGTCAGTGCTGAGAACTTTCCGCCTCCTGCGGGTTCTGAAGCTTGTGCGTTTCATGCCTGCTCTGCGACGCCAGCTGGTGGTGCTAATGAAGACCATGGACAATGTGGCCACCTTCTGTATGCTCCTTATGCTCTTCATCTTCATATTCAGGTGAGACAGTGTCATCTTCAGAGCAATTTGAGGAGGCATCACATGGCGAATACAAACCCTGGCACCAGTCTCTGTGTGACTCATCCTGCCCAAGTCTTTCCTTTAGGAGGAACTTTATGAGTTTTCAGAGCCAAATCCTCAGCTGGTGTAAATGCAGCTGCTCAGGATCTGGCCCTCAAGTGTTCACAAGTAGAGGCTTGGGGGTAGAGAAACTTTGCCAGCCAGGGAGTGAACTGATACAGGTTTCAGTTAGAGAGGGTGAATTCCTCCAGCGTCCTGATGCTGACTGCAGGGATTAGCTTGACTCGTCTCTCCCTTCCGCTAAATATTACAAAAGTGTGGGGTGGTGCACTTGGCAGTATTTCACAACACACGATGCAGATAAGCTAAAAGTGGGTAGTGGCAGGCAAATGGAACAAGAGAGAATGGGGGAGATAGTGGACAGGGGTGCAGGGCTGGATAGAGTAGCCAGAAGCTGGGAGGGGGGTGGGTCTTGTTGCTTTTGGCAGTGCAAGGGGAAGGAGTAGGTACAGGAGGAGATACAGGCTGATCAGTGTCTTGCCCTTCTTCACTGGTAGATCTTGATGGGCTAGCTGAATTTGTATAGCTCTTACCCTGGTAACAAGTGGCAGCAGGTTGGATTGTGAAAGAAATAAGCTAACAAGCTCATTTTGGTGTCAGAACTATTTAAATTGGACACCATCTTCTCTTCCCCACCCAACAGCATTCTGGGAATGCACATCTTTGGGTGCAAATTCAGCCTCCGGACAGACACTGGAGACACAGTCCCTGACCGGAAGAATTTCGACTCCCTGCTCTGGGCCATCGTCACTGTGTTCCAGGTGAGTCAACGCACAGCTTCCATGGGCAGACTAGACAAGGGATGGGACTGGAGGGGGATCTCACAATGAACTGGATCAGGACGAGTTAGTTGTAGGTTAGTATAGCTGCATGTCGCACGGATTCCGGATGACACAAAAGCCTGCCCACGAGCATGTGATGTTGAGAGAGGAGCACCAGACACTCTGTAACCAAGCCGTTGACATCTTTGCTATCTCCAAGGAGCAAGGAGACAATGGAAGGATCTGGCATTTAGAAAGGTCAGCTCTGTTGTGGCAACTCCTGTGTTTAGTGTTGGCATCATAGCGCACACACTATGCTTGTGTGTGTTCATCTCTTCCTGTATATCTAAGGTCTCTTGAGCTAATGTCATGGAGATGGCATAAGAGTTGGACCATGTTCACTGATGGCAATCACTGGCACCTGGTGTAGGAGGTGGCAAGAAGATGGGAGAGCCTCACCCTGCAATAGACATGTGGTGGGCTGATGATTTTCCTCTCACTGCTCACTAACACTGCCCCCTTCCTCTACATCCCTTTCACTCTCCCTTTGCTCCAGGGGACTCAAGCAGCCTCTCTTGTGTCTCGCAGATCCTGACCCAGGAGGACTGGAACGTTGTGCTGTATAATGGAATGGCCTCCACCTCACCCTGGGCATCCCTTTACTTTGTGGCCCTCATGACCTTTGGCAACTACGTCCTCTTCAATCTGCTGGTGGCTATCCTGGTGGAGGGCTTCCAGGCTGAGGTGAGTTGCCCCTCCATGGAGGTGAGGTGCAGATGAGGAAGATGGCCTGAGTGGAAGAGGAGGAGAGCCTAGGTTAAGACATTCCATTTAAGAGGGAGGGGTTTAAAAACTTTAATCCTTTCCCGGGGGTATCAAACTACTGATATGGAGGAGGAGGTTAACAATTTCCAACCCATCTTATGCACCCTGCAAAGGTGACTCAGTAACCTTCCATCGGCCAGGAGTTCAGGAACTAAGCAGCTGCAGACCACACAGGGATTCCTCTATCCTCTGTGGAATGAAGAGTCAGAGAGAACAGAATCCTTTCCCTGCAGGCCCAGAGTCACAGGCTTTGATTTTTCCATTCCAGGGTGATGCCAACCGGTCATACTCAGATGAAGATCAGAGTTCATCAAACATGGAGGAGTTTGACAAGTTCCAGGACAACCAGGATGGCTCAGGTCAGTGGCTCCCGCCTTGTTTGCTGTGGTCCCACCAGCAGCTGGGTGAAAAATGTAAATGTACAAATCTCCCTGAAATCTCACTCCTTTATCCAAGGTGGGACCAGAGTGCTTTGGCTTGGCCTAAAAGCACTTTTGTGGCATTGCAGTTTTATGCATTTTTGTTTGTTTTAAAGTCATTGTCAGCTTGCAGTGTCACTTGCAAAAATTCTGTAAGGCTGTAGCTAAGAGAGCGAGTGTGATCCTCGGAGATACTGCATCGAGTAGGAGCAAGGAAGTATTACCACATCTGTGTACACCAGTGGTGAGACCATGGCTGGAATTCTGGATCCAGTTCTTTTGTCCACATTTCTAAAAAGGCATGGAAAAATTTGGAAAGAATCCAGAGAAGAGCCAGAACAATGATTTGAGGTCTAGAAAATGTGCCTCATAGTGAGAAATGAAAGAAGCCAACTGATGTAGCTTAGCCAAGAGAAGGTTAAGAGGTGACTTGATCATGGTCTACAAGCACCTCCAAGTGAAAAGATTTCTGATGGTAGATGGCTCTTTTATCTAGCAGAAAAAGGCATAATGAGATCCAGTGGTTGGGCACTCAAGCTACAGACAAATGCAGACTAGAAATAAGGGGCAAAGATCGAACAGTGAGGGTAATTAGCCATTGGAACAAGTTACCAAACGGCATGCTAGATTCTCTATCACTTGAAATCTTTAACTCAAGACTGAGTCTTTCTGAAAGATCTGCCATAACTCAAACAGAATGTATGTCATTGAAACAGAAATTATTGCGTGAAGTTTTATGGCCTGTGTTGTATAGGAGGTCGGACTAGGTGCTCATAATGGTCTCTTCTGGCCTTAATGTTTTTGAATCTAATAAAAAAGAGCAACATATCACATCATTAAGAATATTTTGATTTCTTCTTTCCCCCATCTGTTCAGATGCTAATGCCTCTCCTTGGCACCCTGCAGGAGCAAATTAAAGCAGATTTGCTGGATCCTTAGGGTCTGTGAGCAGTGGCCTGAGGAGGGCCCAATGCAGCAATGAGTCAGTGAGAGCAGACTGTGAGGAGGAGTATGTGCATGGGAATTTGGAGAGAGATAAAGGATTAGATTCCCAAGGCATCTAGAAAGTTTTGGTAGAACTGGGCCCCCCCCGAGTCTCAGTCTACCCTTCAGTATCTCAGCACAGTAAAATGGTGAGGAAAACAAAGCATGTGCCTAAAATATTCAGTGGCTCCTCGTCTAAGGCTACGTCTAGACTGCAAGCCTCTTTTGAAAAAAAAGCCTCTTTCAAAAAAGAGCGTCTAGACTACAACCAGTGCTTTCGAAAAAGTAAACTGCTTTTTCGAAAGAGAGCACCTAGGCAGTCTGGATGCTCTCGTTCGAAAAATCACAGTTTGCATTACATAGCGCCTTTTTTCAAAAGAGAACTTTCGAGAAAAGGCATTCTTCCTCGTAAAACGAGGTTTTCCGCGGTCGAAAAAACCGCCACGTTCTTTCAATTTACTTTTGAAAGAACGTGGCAGCAGTCTAGACGCAGGGGCAGTTTTTTTTAAAAAAACCTGTAGTCCAGACACACCCTCACAGTCTGTGTTTGTTTCAGACTGCCTCTCACTCTCCCTCCTCCCCCAGTTCTAGCAAGTGAGGGCACTGCCTCCCTGGCTCCCAGGCAAGAGCCTCCCAGCCTGAGTCTGCAGGGACAGCTATCTGATCAGCATGTTGGCCTCAGGCAGAGCTCTCTTGTAGGAACACTCTCTGCTCTAGCTCTGTGCCAGGAAGGCTGAGCTGATGGATTCAGCTGTGTGAAAGTTGCTGTGTCAACTGCTGAGTTAAGGAAACACCTTTCCCCCTCCAAAGCCAGAAGAGAAGGATGCTGCCAGGACTGCCCAAGGAGAAGAGACTAGAAGAGAAGGGGTGGGTAGAGAGGAAGAACAAGTTGCCTCATCACATTTGTTCTTCTGCACCCTGCCTCACCTCTGAGAGGTGTGCCCATAGTGAGGCAGAAGTAGTGCAAAGGACTCTGGGGAATCAGTGCACCAAGCATTTGGGAGTGGGGCCATGGCCTCAGTTCTGTTGCTTTCCTGACTCACCCCTTCTATACAATCCAAAGGCAGCAGGAAGCTGTGCTGGGTTCTAACAGTGCTGCACAAACAGGGCATTAAAACATTCACTGAATGGTGCGGGAGGAAATCACAGAAGGGGAAGGAATGCCTTTTTCTCTCTTTCTCTTCTTGTTTCTTTCTGCTCAGATCCCAGGCTCTGTGCAATTCCCATGACCCCAAATGGGCACCTGGACCCCACCCTTCCTTCATCCAATCAGCCAGTTGCAGCTGGTGGGGTCACAAGTTCTGCCCGGAACTCCCTGCAGCCAGACCAGGTCCTCATTGCGCTGGGTTCCAGGAAGAGCAGTGTGATGTCCCTGGGGAGAATGACCTATGACCAGAGGTCACTGGTGAGTGAGTAGAAACATGAATAGCACCCTTCTTCTGAAGCCCAGGGGACCCATTGTCTCAGCGCCGCCATCTTGGAATTCCATCGGGGGTTCTGCCCCTACTGGAAACTCATTAATAGAAGCTTAAAGACTAACCAATTTATTAGGACCCTTAGTATCATAGACTCCTAGAATCCTAGGGCTGGAAGAGACTTCAGGAGGTCATCGAGTCCAGCCCCCTGCCCAAAACAGGACCAACCCCAATTAAATCATCCCAGCCAGGGCTTTGTCAAGCCAGGACTTAAACTTTTGACCCTTACACATAAACTTTTGTGGAGTGGAGAAGCCCATCTGACAAAGTGGGCTACAGCCCATGAAAGCGTATGCCCAGGCGAGCCAAGAGATTCACCTGGCCCCTGGGCAAGGTGGTGGGGTGGCTCCACGTGCTCCGATGAGTGGGGCTTTGGGCAGAAAGGACGGGGCAAGGGCAGCCTCCCAGACTGTGCCGCCTCCTGCCAGTGCCATTCGGAGGGCACTGCCTGGGGCTCTGGAGTGAGCTGTGTGGGGCTCTGGCGGTGATTTAAGGGTCCCAGGCTCCAGCTGCTACTGCAACCAGGGCCCCTTTGAATCATCGGGGCCTGAGATAGCTGCCCCCTTTGTCCTCTCTTCCCCCCTTCCATTGGCAGGCCTGCTTATGCCCAAATAAATGTTAGTTTTTAAGGTGCCACTGAACTCCTTGTTGTTTTTGCTGAGACAGGCTAATGTGGCTTCCCCTCTGAAATGCAACATAAGCTTGTTGCTTGTGCCCATTTAGCCAGAGGTGGTTCCAGTTTCTTGATCCATATTCTGCTATGACTGGGAGTAGGATTCTACTACCTTGTTATCTCCCTTGGAGTCTTCCCTCCAGAATGAAAGCGGCTTCCCTCTGAGCCCTCCACTGTAGTTCTGCAGCACAGAGCATGGAATTATGGAGCCCTGCCTCCTCAGTACAGGCAGTCCCCGGGTTACGTACAAGATAGGGACTATAGGTTTGTTCTTAAGTTGAATTTGTACGTAACTCGGAACTGGTTCCAGATTCAGCCGCTGCTGCTGAAACTGACCAGGGGCTGACTACAGGAAGCCCGAGGCAGAGTTGCTCTGCCCCCAGCTTCCTAGAATCAGCCACTGATCAGTTTCAACAGCGGCTGAATCTGGAGCCTGGGACAGAACAGCTGGGGCGCTGCTGAGTAGGTCCCCCCAGGACCACCCCGGCAGCCCCCCAGCTGTTCTGTCCCAGGCTCCAGATTCAGCCGCTGCTGCTGAAACTGACCAGGGGCTGACTACAGGAAGCCCGAGGCAGAGTTGCTCTGCCCCCAGCTTCCTAGAATCAGCCACTGATCAGTTTCAACAGCGGCTGAATCTGGAGCCTGGGACAGAACAGCTGGGGCGCTGCTGAGTAGGTCCCCCCAGGACCACCCCGGCAGCCCCCCAGCTGTTCTGTCCCAGGCTCCAGATTCAGCCGCTGCTGCTGAAACTGACCAGGGGCTGACTACAGGAAGCCCGAGGCAGAGTTGCTCTGCCCCCAGCTTCCTAGAATCAGCCACTGATCAGTTTCAACAGCGGCTGAATCTGGAGCCAGGTCCGAGTTACGTACAAATTCAACTTAAGAACAAACCTATAGTCCCTATCTTGTACGTAACCCGGGGACTGCCTGTAATATAAAAAAAACATATGGAACACTTCTGCCATTAGAAAAGGATGGGTAATATCTCATCTAACAGGTCCTCTATCTGAAGAAGTTTCTTAATTGATGATTTAATGGAGCCCTTAATTCAGGTGAAAATCAAAGCCTTGACCTTCAGCACCCTTTCCTGTCTGATGCCTGCCAATCCTGTCTCTTTCCATCATATTCACAATCGTGTCCTCTAGCACCCCTGTTAATTCGGTCCTTCGACAGTTCATTGAACCAACACACACAGCGTTAGTGGTGCGCGTCAATCCTGCTATCCCAGTGTTGTTTCTCCTGAGCAAAGGTGGCTGCTGGTAACAATTAGTGCTGAGCTTTGGTGGTGTGGAGGATTAGGCTGAGACCTTCAAACCCATGTCTCTTTCTTTTCCCTCTCATTTAGATTGTAAGCTCTTTGAGGCAAAGACTATGGGCTGGGTTTATCCAGTGCCCTGTTCCCTGTGCACCAGTGCAAAGTGAGCACAAAATGCTACCACCCTGATTTTGTAGGGCTTTAGCCCCGTTTGCCACTGGTGCAAATGACAGTTCAAACTGTGAGGCAAAGGAGAACCTGGTCCTTTGCTTTCTAACCTTATCTGTAAAGTGCCTGGCACACAGCTGGGGCTATAAAATAAATATGACAGTGACCAATTAAGAATTATTAATTAATAACAATCTGATGCCAGATTTACAAAGGTCACTTTTGAGTTCACAAAATGCCTTTCCTGGAGGGATGGGAGACCAAGGCCGTACTCTTGTATTAGGTGATTAGAGTGAGTCTTTGATCTAAATGGCTGAGACTCCATCTTCCCCATGACCCAAGACACTGAATCCCTGTCCCTCTTTCTTACAGTCTAGCTCTCGCAGTTCTCACTATGGTGCCTGGGGCCGCAGCGGGGCTTGGGGGAGTCGCCGCTCCAGCTGGAACAGCCTGGCTCGGGGACACAGCCTAAAATACAAGCCTCCATCTGCTGAGCATGAATCTCTCCTGTCCGGGGAAAGGCACAGGGTGGCAGATGGGGAACGTGAGGGGATGGGAAGGGCCCCTCATCACCGGAGGACACTCTCCTTGGATACCAAAGATTCCTGTGACCTGATGGAGCTGACATCATCAGTTCCGTCCAGTCACAGGCCAGCACGGAAGGCGGGTGTGGCTCTGGGCACCAGTGAGCACCAGGACTGCAATGGCAAAATGCCCAATATCGCGAAGGAGATCTTCCCAAAGATGGACAACCGCAAGGAACGTGGTGAGGACGAGGAGGAGATAGACTATGTGAGTACAGGGGGCTTCCTCAAGGGCTTACAAAAGGGGGACAACACTCAGAGCGGGGAGGTGAGTTGTGCCAACCCAGGAGACGTCACTGCTCAGGGCAAGAGCAGATCGTAGAATCCCTATGGGCTAGCCTGAGGGCTTTTGGTGCCTCAAGCAGAAGACCAGAGTGCTGCTTCCTAACCAGCCTCCAAGGCTCCAGTGCCCAGAACTGAAAAAGTTAATGTGACACTCCAGTGGCGGTCAAGGGTAATGGAGATTTTAGCAGAAGCTTCCTTCTGCTGTATCACATGGCAACACTAGGACTTCACTTAGGAGAAAAGATGCTGGAAGGTGCCCATTCTGCCTTAGGCACATTGGCTAGGCTGTGGACCCCAGTACTCTGTCTCCACTGTCCCTGGGGTTCAAAGATCCAGTGAGCGCGGGGCAGCCTCAGTGCCAGCGTTCTACAGCAGAGTGGAGGGTAGCAACAGATTCTGTTTTAAGGAATCAGAAGTGAACTGATGCTCTTCCTTCTGGGAGGAAAACAGGCTCATGGAATAGCAGCCCCAGTTAATTTCCCCTGTAACTATGACATCAGCTCAGTTGCTTTCCTCACGTGGGGAGGGCAGAGAGAGGAGGATCAGGAGAGGCAGTGTATCCAAGTTACTGGTATGTTAGGTTCCAAGAAAAAAGGCAGCCTGCACTTCTCAGTGAAACGAGGAGGTGGTCAGTGACAACCCGTGCCCTTGTGTCTTGCAGAGCCTGTGTTTCCGCATCCAGAAGATGATAGAGGTCTACAAGCCAGACTGGTGTGAGATACGGGAAGATTGGTCCATCTACCTCTTCTCTCCACAAAACAGGTTTGTCCCAGTTTTGTCAGTGGAGGGGTGGGTTGGTATAATCCTGTTTCAGCAGCCACAGACGTGGGTTGGATGCTGCACGTGCAGCTTTACACTTTGAGGAAGGGAGCAATTTTCTTTCTTCCAGTCACAGTCTCTCTAGCCAACTCGTGTTAGGTCCCTGACATGCAGGTAGAGAAGGGGAATCCTGAAAGGCTGCTGCTGTTTTCCTTCCAGGGGAAAGCCCCATTTTCCTTCAGTTTAACTTGAGGCAATACAGAGAATACTAACTCTGACCAAAAAAGATGAAGACTGAATTAACTAATCTATGCCATTAGCAATGTTTCTGGTGGCACAAGAGTGACCCCCGTTGCATTGGTTGGGCAAAGTTAGTATTCTCTGCCCTTAACAAAATAAATATTAGAACAACTCTTCCTTCCCC